CTGGACCTGAAATATGTCATCAGCAATCTTTTTTAATTCAAAGAAAAATGTCACAAATATTTTAAACAAGTACATTATCTGTCTAACTATTTCCATATATTTATGTACTATCATGTATATTATCGAACTGCATGTGGATTTGTTGAAATACACGTACATTGTATATTCATCTATATTGAGTACCTTTTTAAAGAGGGCCTCATGGGATATTAGCCTTAATTGTTTGCTAAATGATTTGTACCCTCTAAAAACAAAGTATTATTGTTATTATTGTTTAATTATTATAACAGGTATGAGATTTGACTGTATTGCTCATATAATATCATATATTCCATGACTGAATCTTTGGACAAAATATTCATCAGGTGTTCGGTGCCAAAATAGGTACAGAAGAGTCCTCAGTAATTTTGCGAACAGTGCCATCGGAGCTGTCTTTATTCCGGCCATCGACGGCGAGAGCAGTCAATTGCTTATAGCAGCAGGAGGTTATTACCGCAAGAACAGAACTACTCTACAGTGGAGAACAGTGGGGAAGGAATGTTTAGCCATCGAGTGGAGTGTTGAGTCCTTTGCTTATTATGCAAGTATTAACAGTAGGGTAAAGTTCCCAATCCAAACGGACCATTACCTGTTGAAGTGGTTAGCTAGAACCAAACAAGAGGCCCAGAGGGCCTGTATCGCTCACCTGGATATCTAAGCAATTATTGCAAAATATTCTCCAAATGACATCCAAGGGACTATGTAGCATATCTGTATTAGATTTTTCATGCCCAGCAATTTTATGTATGGTTATGGGGTGGGGACCTGAACTGTTTCCAAGCTGTGACTCAGAAACTAGATCCCTAGGGTTGTGACCAGACACCAGAATCAATTCTAATATCATGACTGCATTCGTCTCTTTTTGCCCATCATTTTATAGTTTTTGGGTGTGGATCTCAACCGTTTCTAAGTTATGACCCGTCGATCGTTGTAAATTGTGGTATAAATTGTCAAAATTAGGAGTTCGAGGAAGGCTGTTATCAATTTTGAAAGCCATGTGTCTCATCTAAGGGAAGATGCTCCGATTTTTTTGCAAACAACATGGGTCTCGCCCAAGGGGAAATTTTATCCCCAATTATGTTTTCAATGTATGTAAATGACTTTGAAAATGACTTTATTGCTAACGGTGTTAAACCGTATGATTTTGGAGAACTCAGTCTCTTTTTATTAATGTATGCGGATGATTTGGTGCTACTTGCAGAATCAGCCAATGAGCTACAGAATATGTTAAATAGTTTGTCTATATATGCGAACTCATGGAAATTGACCGTTAATACGGCAAAAACTAAGATTGTTGTCTTTAGAAATGGAGGCCGCTTACGAAATAACGAGGAATGGTTCTTCGATAGAAAAAAAATAGAAGTCGTTGAACAGTTTACTTATCTAGGTATTGATTTTAAATGGAACAATAAATTTAATATTGTACAAAAGCAATTATCCGGGCAAGGTCGAAAGTCAGTATTTGCCTTATATACAAAATGTAAAAATATGAATTTAAACTGCCATACTTTGATTAAACTTTTTGACACATATGTTACCAGTATACTGTGTTACGCATCTGAGGTATGGGGCTCGTGCAAAGGCATAGATATTGAGAAAGTTCACCTGGAATTTTGCAAAAGGATATTATGTGTTAAGAAGTCAACATGTAATGTAATGATCTATTTTGAATTGGGTAGATTTCCGATTGTACATACCAGACACTATAATTTAATTAAGTACTGGTTCAAGCTTTTAAATACTAAGAACTGTGTTCTTAAAACTGCCTATGATGAACTCATGTATATGCCAAAGCGAAATACTGTTTTTAATTGGGTAACTTTTGTGAAAGACAAACTTTTTTCACTCGGTCTTGGCGAAGTGTGGCTGAATCAAAATAATGTGAACTCGTCTGAAGCCCTGCCAATTATTAAACAGAGAATCTTTGATAACGCACGGCAAGAATTGTTTGAATTATTAGAGAATTCCTCGAAATGTTTTTTGTATAGACATTTAGTTGATAATTTAACATTACAACAATATTTATGTAAATATATTCCAAAGCGAAATAGAATTGCTCTAACTAGGTTACGTTTATCAGCGCATACGCTGTATATTGAAACCGGGAGATATCGAAACATTGTAAGAAATGAACGTATATGCAGAATTTGTAACTCTGAAGATATTGAAGACGAATACCATTTTTTGTTCATTTGTCCATTTTATCAAGTTTTAAGAGAAAGACGTATAAAATTGTACTACTGGAAAAAACCATCTGTTTTCAAGCTGATTCAATTATTAAGCACAACGAACGTTAAAGAATTAACTATGTTAAGTAAATATATATATGATGCCACCCAGTTGAGGAATAGCATGATATAATGTTAAAATATATGTAACTACATCCATTTTTTGTCCATTCTCCACTGCGTTATTGCAGTGTCTGCCACTGTATTTATATGTATTGTGTATATACTGATGAGCTGTAAAGCTCAAAGTCTATAAATGAATTTGAATTTAAAGTCTGCAAGGGTGGGTCAAACCCTGGGGTCAATTCTAATATCATGACTGCATTCATCTCTTTATGCCCAACAATTGTATATATAGTTTTGGGGTGGGGATCTAAACCATTTCAAAGTTATGACCCAGGGATTAAGTCTCCAAGGGTGGGGCAGATCCCAAGGCCATCCTAGAAGCATATGTGCATTCATCTCTTTATACTCAGTAATTGTATATATGGTTATACAGTGGGGATCTCAACCAAGTAATAAACTGTTTTTGACCCACCTCCTTAGCCCAGGGGGTCAGCCCCACCATTTATACAATTCTGAATCCCTGCCTCCCATGAATGCTTTTGATCAAATATGATTGATATTTACAGAAGAAGTCGTTTATAGCAATATAGCAAAATTGCCCCCCTTTGGCCCTGCCCCTCAGCACCCTGGGGAGTCAGCCCCACCATTTGTACAATTTTGAATCACCGCCACCTCAGGGATGCTTCCAGTCAAATATGAATGATATCCATCACTTAGTTCTAGAGAAGAAGTCACTTAAAGCAATATAGCCAAAGAAGCCTTTTTGGTCCCCGTCCCTCAGCCCCCTGGGGGTTCAGCCCCACCATTTGTACAATTTTGAATCCCTGCCTCCCATGAATGCTTTTCATAAAATATGACTGATATCTACAGAAGAAGTCGTTTATAGCAATATAGCAAAATTGCCCCCTTTTGGCCCAGCACCTCAGCACCCTGGGGAGTCAGCCCCACCATTTGTACAATTTTGAATCACCACCACTCCAGGGATGCTTCCAGTCAAATATGAATGATATCCATCACTTAGTTCCAGGGAAGAAGTCGCTTAAAGCAATATAGCCAAATAACCCTTTTTGGTCCCCGCCCCTCAGACCCACAATTTGTACAATTTTGAATTCCTGCCTCCCATAAATGCTTTTGATTAAATATGATTGATATCCAGTGCATACAATGTAGTTCTACAGAAGACGTTGTTTGTAGCAATATAGCCAAATTGCCCCCTTTTGGCCCCGCCCCTCAGCCCCCTCGGGGGTCAGCCCCACCAGTTGTACAATTTTGAATCCCTGCCTCCCATGAATGCTTTTGATAAGTTATGATTGATATTCAGTGCATAGTTCTACAGAAGAAGTCGTGTGTAGCAATATAGCCAAATTGCCCCCTTTTGGCCCCTCCCCTCAGCACTCTGGGGGGTCAGCCCCACCATTTGTACAATTTTGAATCACCACCACCTAGGGATGCTTCCAGTCCAATATGGTTGATATCCATCACTTAGTTTCAGAGAAGAAGTCGCTTAAAGCAATATAGCAAAATTGCCCCCTTTTGGCTCTGCCCCGCAGTCCTCAGGGGGGTCAGCCCCACGATTTGTAAAATTTTGAATCCCAACTACCTAGGGATGCTGCCAGTCAAATATGGTTGATATCCATCACTTAGTTCCAGAGAAGAAGTCGCTTAAAGCAATATAGCCTAATTGCCCCCTTTTGGCCCTGCCCCTCAGCACCCTAGGGTGTCAGCCCCACGATTTTTACATTTTAAATCCCCAACACCTAGGGATGCTGCCAGTCAAATTTAGTTAAATTCCAATCAGTGGTTAAGAACAAGAAGTCGTTTAAAGCAATTGTTGACGTACAGACGACGGACAGATGACAAACGCCACGGTATGGCATAAGCTCACCTTGGTCCTTCGGACCAGGTGAGGTAACAAAAGAACCAGAGACCTCTGAGGTGAGTTCTCACTCTCCGCCAGTTTCACTATACCATCAAGTATCGTAAAAGCCGAGATAATGCCAACGCAGATAAATTGGTGTGCATTCAATAGAGTATTCGTAAACAAACTGTGAAGCATAAAATTAGATATTTATGTAGCGATTTGGATGTACCAGTTATGAAAATGGACGTGTGTTATAAATCAAAAACATGTTTGTATACTATTCTATTTGTGATATAAGCAAACTTATGGGGTTTACGTGTTATTAGGGAAAATAATTTTATGTGGATGCATTTATTTTGGATTTACCATCACTGAGGAACTTTTATAAGTAGCTGGATCACTGATATACATTGTACAAACTTGTCTAAATTGCACATCGTGTATGATCAGTGTATTATGATAATGGTCTAACAAGCGTTATGCTGTATTTGTGTTCATTGTTTAATATCTAGCCTGAGTGTCTGGAACAGTAAAAAGTCTTCTTTAGCAGGAGGATGTTAATACAGAGTTTGACCACCAAAGGTCAAACAATTGGTCAGTGTGTATCGGACTGCCTGAATTAGGAGTGCCTCAAAAAACAGTTACCAGTATACGGATGCGGCCTGATCAGCAACAGCACCATTTCCTGGGCTGCCATTGATGTTTATGTTAAAAACTCTGTGAACTGACCAGATAGAATCAGTCCTGGTGTGGCCTTGGAAGGGTAGGAGATCAGATGCTGAGGCCATACTATGTTGTGTGTTGTCTTTTAATAATCAACATTATAAATGAGCTGATTTCTTTTGTTGGTTTTTCATTGTTAGAGAAGCATTAATTATAAGCAAAAAGATGTCTTGAATTGATGTGTTGCTTTATTACAACCGAACAGAACATGATAGGTACGAGTTCATCTGCACCGACTTTCTTTATCATTCGCTTACTATTTCACTCTGCCTCTCACCTACTATAACAAAAGGCCCAGAGGGCCTGCAACGCTCACCTGGATATGTCTAAAGTACTTGATATGAGGTAAAGATATCGCACTCTATGGTAGGTACTGTAAGCACAAATGAAATTTCAGAAAGATCCATCCAGTATTCCTGGAGATATAGCCAGCAGCCTTCAAATGTCAAAATCCAAGATGGAAGAATGGTGGCCATCTTGTTTTAATTATTGCACCCTAATAGTAACATGTTCTACAAGAAAACTTGAAGGGGACAAAATTGGGATAAAATCCCTTAATCCCTATGGTAGAAGAAGGGTTTCAAAGGTTTTATCTCTATTTCCCCTTGTTGAGCCCCACCCCTCTGCCATGGGGGCCATTTGTCACACCCTTCATTTATATATTGTTTATTTCTCTTGATAATGAAATGAAATACCCAATACCAAATTAGATTTTAAATATCTTCACTCGTACTTTAGTAGTCTTTTAAATTTTAGCTACTAATCCCCTTCTGAGCCCGCCTCCCGCACCCCTGAAGAAGCTACATCATTTATACAACACTGACGATGCACACCACAGATATAGCACAGATCTAGTGATCCAGATACTGTCATAAAGAAGGGTTCAATTAGGCCTGGGCAGTTCCTGATTTCACAACTGATTAAACATTGGGAAATTCAAATGTTTCCTCTTCAAAAATCGACAGCTTAGGTGTTTACCTGATACATGTATATCATGTTTTGGCCTCAATAATGAATGTCATGGACTTCTATATAGGAAATAAATTATAACTGAAATCAATCATTTTTCACTGAATTATCCCAACACCTCCTTCATACCTCATCTTGATGATGGATAGATAATAACTATATATGCTGAACGAAGCTGAAAGCTCAATTGGCATAGTTATTCTGGAATAATGGTCCAACTTGTGGCCAACACAAGTCGTAATACAAGTCGCCATATCATTGTAACAACATAAAATGTCCTGTCTGTTGAGACATTCCTGATACAACTCACCGTACCATTCTAGTGATATCACAAGTCCTGTCTGTTGAGACATTCCAGATACAAGTCATCGTACCATTCTACTGACATCACAAGTCCCGTCTGTTGAGACATTCCTGATACAAGTCATCGTCCCATTCTACTGACATCACAAGTCCTGTCTGTTGAGACATTCCTGATACAACTCACCGTACCATTCTACTGATATCACAAGTCCTGTCTGTTGAGACATTCCAGATACAGGTCATCGTACCATTCTACTGATATCACAAGTCCTGTTTGTTGAGACATTCCTGATACAAGTCATCGTACCATTCTACTGATATCACAAGTGCTGTCTGTTGAGACATTCCTGATACAAGTCACTGTAACATTCTACTGATATCACAAGTCCTGTCTGTTGAGACATTCCTGATACAACTCACTGTACCATTCTACTGATATCACAAGTCCTGTCTGTTGAGACATTCCTGATACAACTCACCGTACCATTCTAGTGATATCACAAGTCCTGTCTGTTGAGACATTCCAGATACAGGTCACCGTACCATTCTACTGATATCACAAGTCCTGTTTGTTGAGACATTCCTGATACAAGTCATCGTACCATTCTACTGATATCACAAGTGCTGTCTGTTGAGACATTCCTGATACAAGTCACTGTAACATTCTACTGATATCACAAGTCCTGTCTGTTGAGACATTCCAGATACAGGTCACCGTACCATTCTACTGATATCACAAGTCCTGTTTGTTGAGACATTCCTGATACAAGTCATCGTACCATTCTACTGACATCACAAGTCCCGTCTGTTGAGACATTCCAGATACAAGTCATCGTACCATTATACTGATAGCACAAGTCCTGTCTGTTGAGACATTCCAGATACAAGTCACCGTACCATTCTACTGATATCACTAGTCCCGTCTGTTGAGACATTCCAGATACAAGTCATCGTACCATTCTACTGACATCACAAGTCCCGTCTGTTGAGACATTCCTGATACAAGTCACCGTACCATTCTACTGATATCATAAATCCTGTCTGTTGAGACATTCCTGATACAAGTCACCGTACCATTCTACCGATATCACAAGTCCTGTCTGTTGAGACATTCCTGATACAAGTCACTGTACCACTCTACTGATATCATAATTCCTGTCTGTTGATACATTCCTGATACAAGTCACTGTACCATTCTACTGATATCACAAGTCCTGTCTGTTGAGCCATTCCAGATACAAGTCACCGTACCATTATACTGACATCCCAAGTCCCGTCTGTTGAGACATTCCAGATACAAGTCACCATACCATTATACTGACATCACAAGTCCCGTCTGTTGAGACATTCCAGATACAAGTCACCATACCATTATACTGACATCACAAGTCCCGTCTGTTGAGACATTCCTGATACAAGTCATCGTACCATTCTACTGATATCACAAGTCCTGTCTGTTGAGCCATTCCAGATACAAGTCACCGTACCATTATACTGACATCCCAAGTCCCGTCTGTTGAGACATTCCTGATACAAGTCATCGTACCATTCTACTGATATCATAAGTCCTGTCTGTTGAGACATTCCTGATACAAGTCACCGTACCATTATACTGATATCACAAGTTTCGTCTGTTGAAACATTCCTGATACAAGAATACCACAATTCAATCATCCTCATCACTGGCATCTTGGTCCTGGTCACTCGTACACTGTAAATATTAAAAATATATCAAAATGTATTGAAATAATAATTTTTGTACAGTATACAAATACTTCATAGCGAAACCTCTTCAATATTATCGTTGAAGTTTTCGACATCAGAAAAAAACAATTCAAAATAACCATGTCGCTTCATGAGTAATTCATGTTTTAAATACACAGCTTGGAACCTAAGTGGTAAACATGTCTTTTCACTGCTTTGTACAAATTCATACATTTCACCGTAATCTGGTTTCATGTTTATAACAATGGGTAGTTCGATAGTGAATTTATATTTGTTCTCTGGATTAGATTATAACCATCTTCATTTTAACAGGACACATTACACATCAGTGTGGTACTGCATACCGGGAAATGTTGGTCACTGTTGAACTTTCGCCTTTTGAAGGCAAATTTATCATGACGGACAATATTCAACCAATAAATTCTATACATACAAAACACATGTTAAGGGTGAAGATAGCAGTGAGGAAATAGGAATTGCAGTAGTGAGAAGTGAAAATTTGATTAGATGAAAGCTGGTTAAGGTTTCCAGTATACAGTAAGATCATAAACTCAATGCAATTTTTTTTTTTTTTATCTCTCATACACTTTCCATACACATTCACTGTTAAATATCTTTTCGTCTCTCACAAAGCTTTCATGAATATTTTATTTTTATGAAAATCAAATTTGTTTAAAATGGCTTAACTTAATTTATCTCACATTTTACTGCGAATAAGTTACATAATGAGGAATCAGGCATGGCTTACCTCCTCAAGATTCTGGTAACAGCCCATCTTAAATCTGATAAGGTCTCCCCACAGCAATAACTGTTTACAGTTCGGACATGTTCCTTCAACTGGAATGATTTCTCTTTTCTGTTCCTTAGACTTGGCCAGGAACTTCTCGGCTAAGCACACAATGTGAGAAACCATTGAACATTTAGGATGGATGCAACTCACTGTCGTGTCATCCGCCTGAAAAGAGAAATGTTCAATAACAGTGGAGCTAAATGGACTAGCCGCGTTCTGCTGGGAATGCATGGGCCCCCGTGGAATTTATCTGTGGCAATTAAGGTCCATTTCATTTTAAGATGAAGGGAGATCACTATAATGGAAGTTGTTTTATGAACTTTTACAGACAAAAGGCCTTAGCAAGGAACAACATGATGTATTCACCTTTTGTATCATATAAAACTAATCGTCAAAACACCACACGTTAATAATTATTTAAACTACAGCAGGACCAGTTTTATACTTACATACAAAAATGTTGGTATATATTGATTTCCTCAGTTTTTAATTTGCATAAATATCTAAAATTCCCATGACTTCAACAGAATCAAAAGTTTATATTGTACATCAATTATGACCTAATTTACTCTCCATGATTGTTCTGAAACTTTATCAGAAGTCTTCAGACATGGCAGCCATTTTTTTTTTATCTCATTTCCCCTTGAAATATCATCAACACATCCAATCTAATGGTATACAAAGTAATAATGTTTTTCATGCGATAAAATAAACTTTGAATCACTATCATTTATTTGTGAGTGTGATTAATATATATGCTTTCAGGCAATGCACAGGAACATTTAGTGATGTAAGATCTGTTCTTATAATGTCCATCTAAGACTGATTTTGATAGCTAGTGTTAAGAAATAAAAAAAAATGGTACCGTAACGCAGATTCATATTGATCACTGTTGTGCCCCAATTGCAAAGAAGATGATATGGCACAAATGCAACTCCCAATTTAGGCAAGAGGTGGTTCACAAATTATTTGCCTCTTACGTATCATGACGTGGGGTTTTTGGTTTCTTAATCTCCAACATGCAGGGTTGTCTCTAAATATTTAGACACCAATGTAATAGAAGTTCTCTTTTTCCAATATTGCCAAACCTGGGTCTGCAGAATATTACAGATCAGTATTCAAATTATTAAGGTAAATGAAACATTCCTCTACTGGGGGTAATTATATAAGTAACAAGTGACTAGATAGTTTAGCAGTGTTAGAGTATCACTAGTAAATTACTATAATCACCCTGTATTTTACATAATTCTCTAACATACTAGCCATCTATTATAATCATAATGTCATATTTAATTATCAACATGAAGTCGCTAGTGTAAAATGTGTGTTTTATGTACAAAGTCATGCATGTACACTTGCATAAGTATGAAATACTGAAGGAGGAGGGGAATTACAAATAAATTTATTATAATGGGTTAGCAATCTTGTTTAGTCAAAAATATTCACTTCTCGCTGTTACCAGCTGTTCAACGTGCAAAATTTTAGTGGTAAAACAGAATTTCTTAAATTATCTAACCTTGGACATATGCATATGTGTAACATCATTAAAATCTATGAAACTCTAGAAGTTTTTGTTAAATACAAGTAATGTTGAGTTTTTAATTTGGGTCGACTATTGTCAATTCAAAAATGCTGTCTGTTTTGTTTCCAGGTCCAAGATGAATTAGTTTTGTGTCATTGTAAAATGACACTCTATATGGCTGAAGCAGGAGATAACATTCTAAAACTCTGACCGGGTCGTATACTATATTGTATATACCGCATGCATACACACCTAATTATTACTAAAATGTCGCATTCATCTGTTGAACCCTTTAAGCTGGGAAGCTGTTGTGTTATCTGGTTTGTTATATAAAATATCTGCCAGGTAGTTTGTTACTGAATGGAATTTATGTATACTTGCGAGTGACAAGAAAGATTGGGAATAAAAGTGAAGTGCTTTCAAACGGGGTATCATAGAGTGGAAAGTAGACAGCCACTATATATTTGTTTGTGTTTTTCGTTCTATGAACAGCTATGGTAATTTAAAGACGTGCCAGGTTTTTGTGGTGGAGGAAAACCGGCGACTGCCCCACGTATGCCTCGAACCTGCGACACAGTGGTGGAGGGCTAGTGGTAGCAGAATGTCAGACGCCTTAACCACTTGGCCACCGCGGCCCCCTGAATACAAAAGTGACAGTTGAGAGTACTAGTGTGTCTATAGTGTTCATACACATAATGAGTTACAATTACATAGCAAACCATCTGTTTTAACATCAGGCTCCTGTGCGGGAGACAAATACTAGGTCATACTGTTTCACATATATGCTCTACTCAAAGTCAACCACCTCAATATTTAACCAACGTTGTATACTGTACATTGGAATTTGTTTAAAACAGATATGAAAATGGGAATGAATTTCGGTAAGTAACAATTATGTATGTACTTGTATCTGCATTGCATGATTACCTATAGTTTAACTATTTTCTACTGCTTACACATAATTACTTACTCAAAAAAAAAATCTTATGATGCATTTTCAATTTCTACATGTACATGTGTGTATTTAACAGATATTTATGACACATTTTCTTGTCACGATACTTCCTCTCCTTCACCATGTGGTTTTAGGCATGGGTCAGTCCTTTAGAAGGACAAAGTCTAGGCAGTTTCATCTTCGCTTGCCAAGTGCTCGCTTCGTATACACTCCAATACGAAGCGAACACTTGGCTAGCGAAGATGAGGCAGTTTAGGTTCCTATACCGCATCACAAATTATCTTGTCACAATGCATTCATCTTACAAGATATATTTTCTAGTCAGTACTACCATGAAACCTTGTGCAAACTTGATACACACATGTACATTCCTATATATCATGACACAGATTGCAATTTCTTAACAAAATATGCAGTCATTTTGAATTAATTGCTCATATATAATACCATCAAAATATTTTATTTACAATTCTTTTTCCATGTCCCTTCATCACTCATACAACATCACTGTTGTTGCTGTGTAATGCAATATCATTCTATTTGACTATTAATTTGCCATAATAATTAATCTGCAATTCAAATCTCTCGCCATGATTTCTTAAGAAACAAACAGATGTTAGATTACTTGCTTTTCTTTCATTTGAGAATTTAAATCCTAGTGGCTACGTCCTTTCATTGCCAGAACTAGGATTGTTTAAAAAATCGTCAACAATAAAGTATGGTACAAATATGCTTAAATTCAATACAGCAGATGACTGGAATGTTTCCCTCGGTCCCGATGTTTTCCTCTCTTTATATTAATTATTAAATTTAGTATGGTTGTCTCAAACACTATACAGTTATTGTCCAGTAACTACAGACTGACTTTCCATAGATTTAATGGAAAATAGGAAGGGCATATATGTAAATATATATATCTGTCTATTATTTCAGTGTTTTTTGTCGTAACCTGCCTGTACACTGGGACCTCTGGACACCGCTACAAGACATTGTCAGAGTTTATGTTCCGTCGACAGACTGAAAGGACAATATGCAACTCGTACGGACTTTTCAAAAGAATGTTACAGAGGGAAACTAATCCATTGATTGACAACTTTGTCAATAGCCTTTTCGAGCAGAGTCCAATAACTGGTGAAATGCTACGTAGCAAGTCGGCAGAAGTTTGCAGGTATTACTACCAATAACTGTATCTGCTGGTTGTTAAGTTAAATAGCCAACAGGTAATTGGGTTATCTGCCCTTTACAATGTGGGATTTCTCTGGGTACTGTGTGCTACCATCTGCTCCAAAAATGGTGATAATTTTGGAAAATTTATTTCATAAAATTGTTCTTATAACTAATGAAATTTAAATGAAAAGACATCAAAGCTCTCATATAAAGAAGAAACTCAATCAAGTAATAAATTTAAATCATGATGAGAAAAAATAATTTCTAGCTTTATTTAATTGATGTTAACGAAACGGATAAACAGCTTTACTTACATTGTCAATAAAAACACTCAAACATATCGCTGTCAATCTAAGGAATCTGGCTGTCAATCTAAGGGCTAAAACATTTGTACAAACATCATTTTATACGGATCCCAGCAGGTAAAAGGGGATATATTTGGCCTCCAAACTCAACCACTGTATACATATTTGATTATCTTTTTGTTGTCATCGCTAAAGACCCTAGTCTAGAATTATGGAAGGTGAGGCCTCATATATTCTTGTATGGGTGTGTATTACATTGATAAAAATAACTTCAATACTTCTATTTAATTGAGCCATTATTTACAACTCAAATATGATGGGAAACACATTATGGCAAAGACTCATTTTAAATATCTTTGAAACTATACAAGACTTGTAGGATTTCATTGAAATTTCACACGAGTATGCGATCCCACAACTGTAGCGCAAAATTGTAGAAAGCAGGTTAGATCTGGGTTTGAATTTGAAGGGTGATTTTCCATAAAAGTGCACATAATGAAAAACATTTCCCAACACATTACATACAATAATTCAAAATAATAGTGAAATATGCTTTTGTCTACCTCTCATCAACTTTTAACAGTTCTGTGGTTTTAAATTAATATCTGTTGACAGTGACATAGCAACAGAAGTAACAGCCTGGGTACAAGAGAACAGACCAATATCATCATGTCTAAATACTGAAACGGTGTCAGACATAATGGATGTGTACAGTGGACTATGTACAGGGGAGGGTGCTGTAACAGCCTTCTTTACTGACCGTAAGTTATCGTAAAAGCTTTTATCACTGACCATGTACAGGGGAGGTTGCTGTAACAGCCTTCTTTACTGACCGTAAGTTATCGTTACAGCTTTTATCACTGACCATGTACAGGGGAGGTTGCTGTAACAGCCTTCTTTACTGACTGTAAGTTATCATAACAGCATTTATCAGCCTAATTTTGTCAGAATAGATCTACATTTGTATGTATCTATGTATCACTGACTATCATTAGCAGTGTTACAGCTAGGATTTGAAAAGAGCAGGTCACTGACCAGAAAAGGAACACTTTTAAGATCACAAAATGTCTTTAAAGGGCTTTTTTTGCACGTCGAATTGTTTTTGGGTAATCAATGTATTTTTGCCTAATAAAGGTCCAGTGTAATTATCTAGTAATATTGTTTAATTGCACTTCACTGTATGTATACTTTTTATATCGTTATTTCATTTTATTTTGATGTTTACGTTCAACACTAATTTCACGAACAGTAAACCAAGTACAGGGTAATTATAGCATTAAAATTACTGATATACTGACCACAAGTAATTATCATATTGAAGAGTGAACATGAGACCGCATTATGGGGAACACCTTCAAGCACTGACCGTCATACACTGAATCAGACATCTTCATTAAACACTATTTATAATTGGTGTACTAACCTTCTTCACAGGCACTGGCAGTAGTTATATATATAAGTTATTGTACAGTAAAATTTGACCATATTGAAAATTTAAATACAAACAATTTTCGAAGTAAATAGATGTCACGCTGGAGTATATTTAAATTTGGTATCATTATTTAAGTTATTTTGCTCTATCATATGCACGAATATTTCTTAAATAAATTATTTATTTATTTTTACTATTTTCTTGAGGAGTTGGTCGAAGGATAATATAAGCGTCAGTAAAAAACAGGGTATTAATTTTTCATGAACTGCTATGCTGTGCTCTAGATCGGCTGAGGTTAACGCTACAACCAATCCAGTGGAACCACAAGAAAAACTTTTTTATCATTTAATATAAACCTGGGTGTATATATGCCTTAATTGTATTCTCTCCCTTCAGTTACATCAGATATTGAGTCAGTGAATATCCCGTCCTGGACAAGTGCTTGTATGATAAAGATGATCGAGATACTCTTGACTTGTCCCTTTCTCTCAGTAGGAAAATTTACAGGTTTGGAGGAAGGACCAGGAATCCACCAGAGGTAATATTTTAAAACACATATGCAGAAAATCATCATTTACAATGAAGTTTTTCATAGTTGATATTTTTGAAAGAATTTATTGAATTAGAGGAAAAAATGTGTTGTAGAGATTTTTTCTACCAATTTCAAAATTCAACAAGAGGCTGATTGGGCCTGCATTGCTCACCTGGTATTAATTTCACTCTTGTAACCTTAAAAGAGGGTCATGGCCAAATGTATTTAAACTAAATAGCATGACCTATGAATATTGGTTATTTAAAAGAACTTGTTCAAAGGTTTTAACACATTTGACCTCTGTGACATTGAAAGTCAAACAAGACCATTCAGTTGAACAAACTTGGTAACCCTTCAACATAGCATACTACTGGCTGAATATCATCACCCTGACCTTTTAGTCACTAAGAAATTGTTTCAATTTTTTTCACATTTGACCCCAGTGACCTTCAAAGTGGGTCAAGGTCATTCATTTGAACAAACCTGGTAGCCCTAGCCTTCATCCATCATGCTTCTTGCTCAACAAGAATGAGCAAAACTAGAGGATTCTTGATTGTTTTGCCCCATTTCTAAACTATTGGACATTTTTAGCCCCGTCCAGTACTACCGGAGTACTACTAAAATCCAATAAGCTGAAATCTACATAGCAACAACTTCTGAGGCATAACCATCGATGATGTTATTTTTTATTGAAACAAGAGGCCCAGAGGGCCTGTATCGCTCACCTAGATTCTTGATCAATCATGGGAAAAATGTCCTCAAAGTGATTTTGCAATTATTTCCATATATATTGAGTCACATTGGCTGAAGAATGTTCCAGACTCAACTTTTTACTACTCTATTGCATCATGCTACTGGTCAAATATTATCACCCAGATCCTCCTGGTAATGCAGAAGTTATTTAAAGGTTTTTACATACTTGACCCCTTTGATCTTGGAAGAGGGTCAAGGTCATTTATTTTGGGAAACTTTATAGCACTCAATGCCAGGTAACTACTGGCAAAGTAGCATCGCTCTGGGCCTCCTTGTTATTCAGAAGAAGTTGTTTAAAGGTTTTTATATATTTGATGCCTGTGTCCTTGAATGTAGGTCAAGGTCATTCAGTTCAGGAAAGCTTACATCCAAGATACATTCTGGCTAAGTATTATCACCATATATGTCTTAGTTATTTAGAAGAAGTTGTTCAAAGGTTTTAACATATTTGCCCCCTGTGACCTTCAACTTGTAGGAAAGTTCATAGCTCAACATCCCAGGAACCCTCTGGCCAAATATCATTACCCATGGCTTCCTTGTTAATCAGAAGAAGTTGTTTAAAGATATTTATATATTTGACCAATGTGGCCTTGAAAGTATTTGGAGGTCATTTATTTGAGGACAGTTTAGAAGTTTAGAAGAAAATTTAACGGACCACAGACCACACTCCATAACATAAGCTTAACAGGCACTTTGTGCCAGGGGAGCTAAAATAATGATAGAGCATGCGCATTATTTGATTTTACTTTCATGTTATATTTTTTTTGTTCTTCAGACAGATGCAAGAAAGTTTTCAGTGTGTTTATGCAGGGATAGATGACAATGACACGTCAATGTGTGGGGATACCCAAAGTCTGAAAAAAATCTATCTCATCATTGAACTTCTCTACAATTTAGCACCCGGTGCTAACTTCACTGTGACCGATTTTGGATTATAAACCATTTGGTGATTTATATAATTGTGAAAGAAATATATCTATGTAGCTTCATAATAAATGCAAATCTAGCACAATGAAGTTCACTTAGTTTTATTTATTATGGAATCAACTGAATTTGATTTAGAACTTGGGTGGGTCAAATTGAAAACCCATTTTCAATGAAAAGTTCATTCCATCCTACATGTGTTTAAAAATTTTAAAAGCAGGTACACACATCCCTTTTTCCTTGGACTGTGAGTTAGAGTTCAAAAGTTGTCTTTTATACTGTACTATGTATTCCTCCATCCTAGTTATATTACAAGGCAATGGGCATTGTAAATTGGTATACAGAAGTTATGTAATATAGGTAAAACTACATTCTACAGGACGTTACAGCATATATACAGCACATGTATATGCAGGTTATGTAAGTACATGTATTCCTCAATTCTAGTTACAAGATAATGGACACATGGTACCTGTCTATGGAGGTATACATCCTGGAGGTGCTATATTCCTCAATTATAGTAACAAGACAATGGGTATGTTCCTTAATTCAAGTTACAAGATAATGGACATATAGTACCTGTCTATGGAGGTATACATCATAGAGGTGCTATGTTCCTCAATTCTAGTAACAAGACAATGGGTATGTTCCTCAATTCAAGTTACAAGATAATGGACATATGGTACCTGTCTATGGAGGTATACATCATGGAGGTACTATGTTCCTCAATTCTAGTAACAAGACAATGGGTATGTTCCTCAATTCAAGTTACAAGATAATGGACATATAGTACCTGTCTATGGAGGTATACATCATAGAGGTGCTATGCTCCTCAATTCTAGTAACAAGATAATGGGTATGTTCCTCATTTCAAGTTACAAGATAATGGACATATGGTACCTGTCTATGGAGGTATACATCATGAAGGTGCAGTGTTCCTAAATTCCATGCTAGATACAAAATAATGAGCATGTGATACTCTTTATGAAGTTGAATGTCATGGAGGTGCAGTATTCCTTGATTCTAGGTACAAGTCAATCAACATATGGTACCTGTCTATGGAGGTGCATATCATAAAGGTGCAGTGTATTCCTCATCCCAATTGAATGATAATAGGTATGGTAGATGGATGTTTTGTCAAGGAATGGAATACAGTCACAATGGTTGCTCATATTGCTGTAATAAAATCACATTCATTTGGCAAGATCAATATGTACACAACTCCTTGCAATAGTGTGAACTTGATGCTGACTTTAAAGTGCTGCCCCACTGAAATACCATGCCAAAGGCACCCAGCACAGCATTCCACCCAATCACATTACATTGACAACGGGTGAACAAGTTGTTGCATGTTCGAAGTTAAGCAGGTAATAACTTCCATTGTTAAGGACTATGGTATGTCCTTGCCTGAGGACAGAACTGTTTACCTTCCTTACGTGGGCGAAAGATCTAAAATATTGCTAAAGATTAGTTGGTTCCAAGGGAGGCATTACAAAGTATGTGATGATCAGGAATACAAATACTAATTAAGATATATAGGAAGAGATTAGGTTCCAACTGTTGCAATTTAGTGCCACCATTATTCACTTGTCAAGTATGGCAAGTTGGCAACAGCAAATAGGAAATCCTGCCCCAACCCAACAAATCAATCCAATTACTATGTACTCTGCCTGAACGTTCTAGCATAGTATATAGTAAACAAACATATTGAAGTTATTTCTTGAGTCAAATGGATACAATGTAAAATGTTAAAATGTATATATGTCAGCCATAATTTGTACCAGGTAATTGAAATTGGACCCAATTAACTGAAATCAATATAATCTTTATTTTAATTTTCACAAAATTTTAGAATGACAAACCTCTTTTTGGTCATAATTACATAATATCTGAAAGATGTCCCGTAGGAAGTATATGTGGAAATGATTTAACCTTGTTTACAAACAGAAAAGGACAAAGCAAAACTTACCTGTAAACGTTTATAACAAGCTGAACACCTCTGATGACTTGGAAGGACCAACTGGCCGATGTCAGATTCTTCGGAGTCCTTGGACTGTTTTTCAGGGCTGCTGTCATTGGATCCCTTAGAACCCTTCTTGCCCTTATTTTTATTGTCCTTAGCCAATGTTTTAATTTTGACAGGACCATAAACTATTGGTATGTGTATTGGAGGTCGGCAATCTGGAGGAAAATCCTGTACATAGTTTTGTTTAAGCCATCGTATTGTCAATGCAAAACGTTTCCATGGTCCAAGACGAAGCATCTCCGAAACGATACGAAAGCGGTACAAGAAAGGTGTCTCTTTTTTCTTCTTTCCGGCCAGGTGTCGAAGTCGACGTGATTTCTGTGGATTCTGCCACGCCCATTCAAACTGAACGAAAAAAAATGATGGTTCCGATGACTTAGTACCGAAAATTATCTCTGTGAAATATGGTACATGTTGGCCCTAATTTGGTGTGAAAATATCAGAAGCTCAACCCATTAAATTATGTTACTATAAACATGTTATTCTGTGTATATGTGAATCCTTGAGTTATTTATAAATCTGAACACTTTTATTACGTAATTTTGATATCATTATGTTTGTAAACAGATAGAAAATTAGTGGTCTTACCCGAAGTGCAGATATGTCATTTGGGAAACCATGAATAATTAAAACCATTTCCCTGAAAATAAAAGGAATGTGGGTATCATAATTTTAACTAAATCATAAATGCACAAACAGTAATTTTCAACAAAATTTCACTCGCACAAGATTTCAAAGTAATTTTAAGAAATCTGAACAATCAGATATTGTTTTGGATTTCACATATTGATACTATAAGAACATTTAATTCTCAAAAATAACATGCACCAATAGTACTCAAACAAACTCGCCAAAAAAATCTAAATACCATGTAGTTACAATTTCTTTTTTGTGATTTGATCTTTATCCATAATTATTTTTCTTTAATTTCCTAGATAGAATTTAAAAGAATGTTAATTTAATTAAATATGTTTTAGATCAAAGTTTCAAAACATTAATGAAGCACTATAGCTGCCATTAAACTACAATCCTCAATATTGTGAACAAACTATATTTAATATCAAGGACTCACACAACTAAATCAGCAAACCAGCAAGTGTTTCTTATGATTGTAAGCCCCATCTAAAATTAGTTCCGGGTTAAGACAGTGCCTTTGAGCAATTTAGATAGGTAACTGATGACATATTTTACATCAATGAATGAAATCTACAGATATTGAACTTTAGAAGAATGTATAATTTAAGTAGATTTTAAAATGTGATGGCAGATTGATATGGGGTCAAATGTCAGGGGGTGTTCCCGTCCCATTTCACCGGTTTGGCTTGTAAACTTCTGGTTGTCAAAAGCAGATGCCTGTAGCGCTCTTATATGCCACCAAACTCACCAAAAAATGCCTTTTGAATCCGTTGTCAGGTATGTATCTGTGAATCTAGACAGTTGTCACTAGAGTTGAACTTCAAATATGAACGCTATTAGCTCAAAAGCTTAGTAATAACACATAGTAAATGATTTAGTTGTGTGAGCCCTTCAACCAATCAGAAACCCAGATTTTACCATGGCCCCCGTCCATGTGTCCTCTTAGCTCCTCCAGCATGCTTGCCCTTGTTATGCTGCTGTATTCTGCGGTTTGGGTTGACTGTGTAGCCAATGTATGTCCTTCCTTTGAACTTTGGATTGACATTGTACAACAGATAGACTCCAAAGAACCTCTCAATAGCCTCCGCCATCTTGTTTGTTCATAACTTGTATGTTTACTGCAATTTCTCCATTCTGTCTCTTAGAAAACTTTACCTAAATCCTGACATTACCTGTAATAAAATAAACTTAAAATTCCAAAAAAGTAAATTGAAAATCAGGTTACTATATCTTTCAGTATATATAATAACTTTGAAGTTGTCATTCCTCATTTCTGCTATGTTCAATCATGATCACCCATGTAGAACTTACACACAAAAAATAAAAGTAGGCATAGATATTATTTAAAGTCCAACAGAAGAAATGTTCCTCAGAATTCAAGTCTTTAGAGATTCTAAAATCATTACTGACGTGGGTCAACAATCATATTTTCAACAGAATCCAAGATGGCCACTGGTGGCCATGTTGATTTGTAGGTTTTTGCTCAAAATTGATGATAAATATGTTTAGAACATTTCCAAATCAATGTATTCTTTCAAAAATGATTGTATGGAAACCATATTTGGGGACGTTCATAAGGTGTGATAACAGATACTATGATATTTATATTATGGTTGTAAGCGACTAACGAGGCTTTGAATTAGTACCTGTGGAGTAAACTTAAGCTCAGTGCACAGGGGTCGTTACAAATGTCTTATACGCATATGCTATACTGACACATAAATGTATGTTTGGGTGTGCTTTGACCCACATCAGTATATAGCATACATACAGTGGCGGATCCAGAGGGTTATTTTGGGCTTCAAGAAACCCCCCATCCTGTGAAATTTCTTTAACAAAAGGCCCAAGGGCCTTAGCGGTCACCTGAGTTATAAAATAGGTACTGGTAGCTCAATTTCGTTGTTTCATGTACAAAGTGTGGAAAAAAAACATGTAAACTAAGTGAAATACAATACTTGTCATGTCACCAAAGGATAAGAACTCTAAAAACTACTCAAATAAATAATTTTGCTATTGAGAGATATACCCTCTCCCAAGGGAAAGCAGATGACCTGGGGGATACTGAAATTTACAATTTAGGTATTGGTAATTTAGGTATAAGGACCTTTCTATCCATGAACAGTAACACATCTGAGTCTGATGAAGAAGCTTTTTGAACTTTTAACCATTTACCCCATTCAGGCCCCAACCCTCCAGCCCCTGGAGATGGGGCAGCATCTGAGTTTCTCATACCATCTAATTGCCATCTGGCATCATAATCATTTCAACCAAGTTTAAATAATTTCCTGCTGAAAATGGACAAAATATACCCAAAAATATAATTTAAAGTCATCTCTACCCCCTCCCCAAAGTAGAACAGATTGCCCGGGGTAATAAAATTGAAAAATAGATAAAGCCCCTGACGGAATTTTCATCCATGCACAGAATTTGATCGTACTACATCTGTGTCTTCATGAAGAAGAAGATTTTTGAAATATTTGTTAATTTTCCCTTTGGTGGCCTGCCCCGGCTCCTGGGGATTGGGGCGGGAAATCGAATTTTACAATTTGATACCCTCTTCCTCTAATGATGATTCTCACCAAGTAAGAATAATTTCCTGCTGAAAATAGACAAAATATACTCAAAAGTTTTATTTCCCTATATAAACTATAAAAAACTTTACCCCCTCCCAAAAAGAGAACAAATGGCCCGGGGGTATTGAAATTTACAATTTAAATAAAGCCCCTAATGATCTTTCCATCCAAGCAGAGAAATTACCTGTCTATCTGGAGAAGAAGATTTTTGAACAAGAGGCCAAATGGGCTTGCATCGCTCACCTTGTATTGATCTCATACTTGTAACCACAAAAGTGATCTAAAACAAGAGGCCCATGGGCCTTAACGGTCACCTGATATATTTATACAGAGAGGTTGGACCCTATGGTCATAAACCTTAAGACCCTTCCATCTATGAAGAGTATTTGATTCTACCATATCTGGGTCTTGAGAAGAAGATTTTTGAAATTTCAGTAAATTCGACCCTTTTATGGCCCCACCCATCAGCCCCTGGGGTCAGCCAGGGCTCATAGGTGCTTATTATCAAACTGCTACCTAATACTGATAATGCTAACCCAAATTGAATTACTTCCAATGGAAATTAAACAAATGTTGGTCCAAAATGTGATTTCCCTATATAAACTATAGTAAAGTTTACCCCCTCCCCAGGGGGAAACGTGAGACCCCAGGGTCAAGAAATTCACAATTTCGGTAAAGCACCTTAAGACCCTTCCATCTATGAAGAGTATTTGATTCTACCATATCTGGGTCTTGAGAAGAAGATTTTTGAAATTTCAGTCAATTCAACCCTTTTTGGCCCCACCCATCAGCCCCTGGGGGTCAGTCAGGGCTCATAGGTGCATACTATCAAACTGCTACCTAATACTGATAATGCTAACCCAAATTGAATTACTTCCAATGGAAATTAAACAAATGTTGGTCCAAAATGTGATTTCCCTATATAAACTATAGTAAAGTTTACCCCCTTCCCAGGGGGAAACGTGAGACCCCAGGGTCAAGAAATTCACAGTTTCGGTAAAGCACCTTAAGACCCTTCCATCTATGAAGAGTATTTGATTCTACCATATCTGGGTCTTGAGAAGAAGATTTTTGAAATTTTAGTCAATTCGACCCTTTTTGGCACGCCCCTCAGGCCCCTGGGGGCTTGGGACTAAACCGGCCACTATTTTTGTTGACCTTTGTCCATGGAAGGTCCCTGCAGAATTTCATTGAAATTGGTTCAGGGGTTTTGGAGAAGAAGTTTTTTGAAATTTTAGTCAATTTGACCCTTTTTGGCCCCGCCCCTCAGGCCCCTGGGGGCTTAGGACTAAACCAGCAATTTCTTTTGTCGACCTTTGTCCATGAAAGGTCCCTGCAAAATTTCATTGAAATTGGTTCAGGGGTTTTGGAGAAGAAGTCGAAAATGTAAATTGTTTACGGACGGATGAAGGACGACGACGGACAAAAGGCGATCGCAAAAGGTCACTTGAGACTTTGTCTCAGGTGACCTAAAAAAGCTACAGGCAAAATATCAGTATTTATGACTAGAAGTCATTCAAAAGAAACTGTTAAAAGATTTTAAAACGTTTGACCCCGGTGACCTTGAAAGTCATTACGTTGAACAAACTTTATAGCCCTTCATCTCAGCATGCAACTTGTCAAATATCACCACCCTAGACCTTCTGTTTAATGAGATAAGGTAATTTCAAGGTTTTTACATATTTGACCAAATGTGACCTTGAAAGTTTGTCAAGGTCTTTCAAATGACTCGATAGCCCTTCATCCAAGCATGCTACTGGCCAAATATCATCATCCTGGTTCTTTTGGTTATTAAGAAGTCATTTAAAGATTTTGAACATATATTCTATCCCTGTTACCTTGATTACCGGTCAAGGTCATTCATTTGAACAAACTTAGTAGCCCCTCATCCTAGCATGCTACTGGTCAGATATCATCATCCTCGGGGCCTTCTGGTCATTCAACATATTTGACCGAAGGTAATTCATTGCAAAAAACTTTGAAGTGTTTCATCCTAGCATGAATTACTGGCCAAATATTAACACCTAAATAGTATAGGCCTTCTGGTTATTCAGGAGTTGTTTTAATGTTTTAAACATAGTGGACCCCCCGTGACCTGGAATATAAGTCAAGGTCATTCAATTGAACAAACTTGGTAGCCCTTCATCCCAGCATGTCCCTGTGAAAGATTTTAACATATTTGACCCCTATGACCTTGAAAATGGGCAAAGGTCATTCATTTTAACAAACTTGGTAGCCCTTATTCATCCCAGCATGTTACTGGCCAAATATTAACACCTTATGCCTTCTCGTTATTCAGAAGAAGTTGTTTAAAGAAGTGCAAAAAAGTTGACGCCGGACAGATTGATGGACGTACGGACGACGGCGCTGCACAACGGCATCAGCTCGCTTGGCCCTTTGGGCCAGGTGAGCTGTAATTAGTTAATTTTTCCTTTGGGGCCCCGCCCTAGCTGGCACGTGGGACAGGTATCCCAATTTTACAATTTGATACCATCTTCCTCCAAGGATGATTCTCACCAAGTAAGAATAATTTCCTGCTGAAAATTGACAAAATATACCCAAAAGTTTTATTTCCCTATATACATGTAAACTATAGTAAATTTTACCCCCTCCCCAACTGAGAACGGATAGCCTGGGGTGGGAGTATTGAAATTTACAATTAAGTGAAGCCCCTAATGACCTTTCCATCCATACATAGAAATTGACTGCATGACTAGTACCTCTGAGTGACTGCCATGGAGAAGATTTTTGAAATATTGGTTAATTTTCCCTTTGGTGGCCCACGTGCACCCTGGCCCCTGGGGTTGGGGCAGGAATCACAGTTTTACAAATTGATACCATCTTCCTCTAATGATAATTCTCACCAAGTAAGAATAATTTCCTACAGAAAATTGACAAAATATACCCAAAAGTTTTATTTCCCTATATAAACTATAGTAAATTTTACCCCCTCCCAAAAGGAGAATGGATGGCCCGGGGGTACCGAAATATAAGTTAATCTTCCCTCTGGGGCCCCTCCCTTGGGTTTGGGCAGGAATCCCAATTTTACATTTTTGTAGCCTCATATACCAAGGACGATATCTCATTAAGTTTGAAAAAGTTGCATCCCGGTGACTACATGGTTAATTGACGACAGACCCGACAGATATGAAAAAAGTCGATAAAACGTCAGAATTATTCGGACTAGGTTCCTGATAAGAAGTTCAAAATATGTAAAAAGTTTACGCAAGACAGACGGAAAGCGATCAGAATAGGTCACTTGAGCAAAGTTCAGGTAACCTAAAAATCATGTATTTTCACCATTAAATTCCTGAATTTTTCCCCACATGGGAAAAACAGATACAGTAAGTCTCTGGATCTGCCACTGTTCATAGTGCATAGTATACTGATCACAGGTGTTCGTTACAAATGTCATATTTTGCACTATGTAGTACAGTGGCGGATCCAGATACCTATTTTTTTTTATTTTTTTTTTCAAATTTCCATGTAGGGTCCGGACTATCTACTAGGGGGCCGGAACAACTTGATTCGTAAATATTATTAGAAAAGCCAATTTAGAAATGCTTCCTTCATGTGATGATTTGGCTGGCCCATTGGATGCACTTTCCGTTAGAATTAAGTCAATCTACAAAGTAGACTCACGTTGGTAATATATTTAGGGGCAGGAACATCTCCCTCGCCATTTGTAGTATTTGAAATCAATGTGCGTGGCGCTCAAAATGTGTCGTCCGTTTTGTGTTTAGTCACTCCCTATGATCAAACGTCTCATTGACACAGATTGAAAATGGAGAGCAACAACACGGATAACGACTTCGTCTACGCAGTCATCAACAATATTCCTTCTTCATATCATTCTTCAGACCTCAGAAATTACTACTCGCAGTTTTTAGAGACAAGTGGATTCAAATGTTTTCATTTCAAACACAGACCAGAGTCTAGAACCTTCGATACACCGAATTCAATTCCGACGGAGGAAAAACGTCCAGGAACGTTTTGTTGTGTTGTCAAAGTCAGTGGAAACCGATTTCCCGAATTCATGAAAATGTATCACAAGAGACACTGGCTGGATAGGAATGGAGATGTCATGCCTGCTTTATGTTTTATTTCAAAAATCAGAACATCTGGGCAGAATTACGGTAATAAAAACTACATGAAAAACATGACATGCATGGTGATCTCATGATAGGCGCTTGAAATATTGTAGGCTATCTAATATTTCTAATATATTGAATTAAAATCTAAAACTCACGAAGTTTTGTGTGTACATCGCTTGTTTGTGTGTGTACATCGTATGGTTTTAAAACTTTAATTATACAAAATACAAGCGCCTATGGTTTTTATTTGAACATATTCTTATTATAGGATGGACACAGCTAGCGCTTCATATAAGTATAGCCCAAGTTTCCTCTGGCCCTAACACCAAACTTAGACATTTTGACATATAGATGTCTGGTGTGGGGGCCAGAGCGCACTCCTATATATAAATGTGGAATTATCCAACACCGTTTGGTATCGGAGAGTTATGAGGCGCTGACAACAAAAATCATTGTGTCATACAGTGTAGTAGCTATATTTTTGTCATCCTCGATATCCAGGGGTTATGCTCACTTTTGCTCTCTACACCCCTGTAATATGTCATAGCAATATTGAAGCTAGGAAGATAGCTGATTGATTGGTCTCGGGTAAAAAAAAAAACCCTGACCAATTGCTAGGCTGATACCTGCGCATGTCCTTTGAAGATTACAAAGGAGAGATGTACCCGACTTCAATTTATAATTAGTCAGTCAATTTTACCATTGCGAGATTCTTTTGATGTACATCAAAGGATCAAACTGGTCTTCTTTTCTCATCAACAAGGTGGAGCACACTGTGCCTTCTATTTTGCTATGACATATTCCAGGGGTGCAGAGAGCGAAAGTGAGCGTAATCCCTGGATATCGAGGATGACAAAAATATAGCTACTACACTGTATGACACAAGACATATATACCTGACATATAGATAAATGGATTATTTATTCATCAAAATCTGCTCTTATTATCATCAACAGCTGCTAAATGTCATCAGTAGACTCCTTGGTTTTCAATTGTTCAAAATTCCCACCTGAGCGAATGCCATTTTGTAGTTCATGTGAGTGACTAATCAACAAGCCGTACTGATCTGGGATGAAAACGGAATATAGCATTCTTGTTCACAAAAAATTACGGACCACATCTTTTTTGTTGATTAGTCACTCCCTGATACCAAGCTGTGTCGGAGATAATTCCACTTTTTCATATAGGAGAGCGCTCTGGTTCCACACCAGACATCTATATGTCAGAACGTCTAAGACTGGTATATATGGGGCCAGAGGAAACTCGGGCTACATATCGGTAATAACCCTTAATTAATTATTACTGAAATGTGGAGGCGGGGGAGTGAAATGAACACAAATAAAGTTCTTTTAAACATTAGGAGTACATAATGGTGTCATTCTTTCAACATAAGCAGATAAATAATACAATGAGATATTAGTGCAGAGAAAATTGATCAATTCTGATGTCTAACATTTGGTTATTAGCTCACCTGGCACGAATCGAAGTGCCAAGTGAGCTTATGCCGTGGCGCGGCATCCGTCCGGCGTCAATATTTTACTTTAAACGACTTCTTCTTAGTAAATGAAAGGCCTAGGGTGTCAATATTTGGCCAGAAGGAAACTGGGATGAAGGGCTACAAAGTTTGTTAAAATTAATGACATTCACCCATTTTCAAGAACTTAAAACATCTTCTTCTCGATAACCAAACTGCCTAGGGAGATGATATTTGGCCAGTAGTATGCTTGGGTGAAGGGCTACCAAGTTTGTTCAAATGAATGCCCTTCATCCATATTCAAGGTCACAGGGGTCAAATATGTTAAAAACTTTAAACAACTTCTTCTGAATAACCAAAATGCTCAGGGTGATGATATTTGGCCAGTAGCATGCTGAGATGAAGGGCTACAAAATTTGTTCAAATGAATGACCTTCACCCATATTCAAGATCACAGGGGTCAAATATGTTAAAACCTTTAAACAACCCCTTCTGAATAACCAAAATGCCCAGGGTGGTGATATTTGGCCAGTAGCATGCTGAGATGCAGTACTACAGAGTTTGTTCAAATAAATGACCATCACCCATATGCAAGGCCACAGGGGTGAAATATGTTAAAAACTTTAAACAACTTCTTCTGAATAACCAAAATGCCCAGAGTGATGATATTTGGCCAGTAGCATGCTGAGATAAAGGGCTACAAAGTTTGTTCAAATGAATGACCTTCACCCATATTCAAGGCCGCAGGGGTGAAATATGTTGAAAACTTTAAACAACCCCTTCTGAATAACCAAAATGCCCAGGGTGGTGATATTTGGCCAGTAGCATGCTTGGGTGAAGGGCTACCAAGTTTGTTCAAATGAATGACCTTCACCCAGATTCATGGTCACAATGTTAAAAACTTTAAACCCCTTCTCAATAACCAAAATGCCCAGGGTGATGATATTTGGCCAATAGCATGCTGAGATGAAGGGCTACAAAGTTTGTTCAAATGAATGACCTTCATCCATATTCAAGGTCACAGGGGTCAAATATGTTAAAAACTTTAAACAACTTCTGATGAATAACCAAAATGCCCAGGGTGATGATATTTAGTAAGTAGCATACTAGGATCAAGGGCTACCAAGTTTGTTTAAATTTGAAATCCTTTCATTAGAACTATACATACAAATATGAACAAATGAATTAAGTTCATAATATGTACATGTATATATACATGTACATTAAAAAAAACAAGGTCTGAAACTTCATGTATTCCTTGAAAATTTAATGATACAATTTTTTTTAAAATTCATTTACTGGTAGGCTTTATGTCAAAATATACATGATTAGAAAAAAAATCAACAAATACCATTTGTATTTTTTTTTATTTTTTTTTGTAGACCAGGGCGATAAATACAAAACAAGAGCAGAACAGAAATGCGTTCCACACAATAGAGAACAGTTCACTATCAGTGACCTGGAGAAAATGAAGGAGTTACATCCCCCTGATATTATGCCAAATGGTAATGTAGGGACTACAACCTCCATATTCCTAGAATACATCAAACAGTGTCGTCTGCCACCAGTCATCATCAAAAATCTTGGACTGTCTTTTCCAAAGACAAGATCAAACAAAAGATACGGAAATGTTCCTTTTAATTACAATGGAACAGCAGAAAGTTGTCAGGACCAGGGAGAAGAGGAATCACCAGCCGTGGAGGTCAAATCATCTACAGGTCAAGATATTCCGACAGAAATGTCAATCACGTCCCCGATCGATTTAGACGAAGACATTTTAGGGCAAAAAGACGAGTCATTAGCCTCATCACAGAATGTAAAGACCGGTGTTGGCTCACAACAAAAAGGTTCAAAAGACAAATTCAGGCAGGACCCTGAGACAAAGAGAAGATTTGAACTTAGAATTGAAGAGAATTTGATAGGAAAAGAAGGCAGGGATTCTGATGATGTAAGTATCAACGAGAGGATTATAATTATTGTGTATATATTATTACTGGTTGCTAATTAACTAGCTTTATATAGAAAATAACTAATCTAATATAGTCCAATAATAATCAAGGTCACAATATAATAGATTAATAGAATCTTACACTGTACTATACCTTGAGGGCATGACAGAAATTTCTCTTACCTCAGGGATGATTTATATGTTTTCTAGCCCGAGGCTCTGCCCATTGCAGTGGTTAGACATTCAAAGAATCACCCGGAGGCTTAGGGTTGGAGATTTCTCTGTTGCACCTTCAAGGTATAAGTAGGGGATCATTATATTTTCCTCATCATTCCAATACGATGTTAACAAAAAACATTTTTCGGCATTTGTAATCTTTTTGTTATCTGCAGACAATCTGTCATAACCTAGGATGTGACAGAGAAATCTTATACACTAGGGTGTGACAGAGAAATCATATACACTAGGGGGTGATAGAGAAATCATATACACGAGGGGGTGACAGAGAAATCATATACACTAGGGGGTGACAGAGAAATCTTATACACTAGGGGGTGACAGAGAAATCATATCCACTAGGGGGTGACAGAGAAATCATATACACGAGGGGGTGACAGAGAAATCATATACGCTAGGGGGTGATAGAGAAATCATATACTCGAGGGGGTGACAGAGAAATCATATACACTAGGGTGTGATAGAGAAATCATATACACTAGGGGGTGACAGAGAAATCATATCCACTAGGGGGTGACAGAGAAATCATATACACGAGGGGGTGACCGAGAAATTATATACACTAGCTATAGGGGGTGAAAGAGAAATCATATACCCTAGGATGTGACAGAGAAATCTTATACACTAGGGTGTGACCGAGAAATCATATACACTAGGGGGTGATAGAGAAATCATATACACGAGGGGGTGACAGAGAAATCTTATACACTAGGGGGTGACAGAGAAATCATATACACTAGGGTGTGACAGAGAAATCATATACACTAGGGGGTGACAGAGAAATCATATACACTAGGGGGTGACCGAGAAATTATATACACTAGCTATAGGGGGTGAAAGAGAAATCATATACACTAGGGTGTGACAGAGAAATCATATACACTAGGGGGTGACAGAGAAATCATATACACTAGGGTGTGACAGAGAAATCATATACACTAGGGGGTGACAGAGAAATCATATACACTAGGGGGTGACCGAGAAATTATATACACTAGCTATAGGGGGTGAAAGAGAAATCATATACACTAGGGTGTGACAGAGAAATCATATACACTAGGGGGTGACAGAGAAATCATATACACTAGGGTGTGACAGAGAAATCATATACACTAGGGGGTGACAGAGAAATCATATACACTAGGGGGTGACCGAGAAATTATATACACTAGCTATAGGGGGTGAAAGAGAAATCATATACACTAGGGTGTGACAGAGAAATCATATACACTAGGGGGTGACAGAGAAATCATATACACTAGGGTGTGACAGAGAAATCATATACACTAGGGGGTGACAGAGAAATCATATACACTAGGGGGTGACCGAGAAATTATATACACTAGCTATAGGGGGTGAAAGAGAAATCATATACACTAGGGTGTGACAGAGAAATCATATACACTAGGGGGTGACAGAGAAATCATATACACTAGGGTGTGACAGAGAAATCATATACACTAGGGGGTGACAGAGAAATCATATACACTAGGGGGTGACCGAGAAATTATATACACTAGCTATAGGGGGTGAAAGAGAAATCATATACACTAGGGTGTGACAGAGAAATCATATACACTAGGGGGTGACAGAGAAATCATATACACTAGGGTGTGACAGAGAAATCATATACACTAGGGGGTGACAGAGAAATCATATACACTAGGGGGTGACCGAGAAATTATATACACTAGCTATAGGGGGTGAAAGAGAAATCATATACACTAGGGTGTGACAGAGAAATCATATACACTAGGGGGTGACAGAGAAATCATATACACTAGGGTGTGACAGAGAAATCATATACACTAGGGGGTGACAGAGAAATCATATACACTAGGGGGTGACCGAGAAATTATATACACTAGCTATAGGGGGTGAAAGAGAAATCATATACACTAGGGTGTGACAGAGAAATCATATACACTAGGGGGTGACAGAGAAATCATATACACTAGGGTGTGACAGAGAAATCATATACACTAGGGGGTGACAGAGAAATCATATACACTAGGGGGTGACCGAGAAATTATATACACTAGCTATAGGGGGTGAAAGAGAAATCATATACACTAGGGTGTGACAGAGAAATCATATACACTAGGGGGTGACAGAGAAATCATATACACTAGGGTGTGACAGAGAAATCATATACACTAGGGGGTGACAGAGAAATCATATACACTAGGGGGTGACCGAGAAATTATATACACTAGCTATAGGGGGTGAAAGAGAAATCATATACACTAGGGTGTGACAGAGAAATCATATACACTAGGGGGTGACAGAGAAATCATATACACTAGGGTGTGACAGAGAAATCATATACACTAGGGGGTGACAGAGAAATCATATACACTAGGGGGTGACCGAGAAATTATATACACTAGCTATAGGGGGTGAAAGAGAAATCATATACACTAGGGTGTGACAGAGAAATCATATACACTAGGGGGTGACAGAGAAATCATATACACTAGGGTGTGACAGAGAAATCATATACACTAGGGGGTGACAGAGAAATCATATACACTAGGGGGTGACCGAGAAATTATATACACTAGCTATAGGGGGTGAAAGAGAAATCATATACACTAGGGTGTGACAGAGAAATCATATACACTAGGGGGTGACAGAGAAATCATATACACTAGGGTGTGACAGAGAAATCATATACACTAGGGGGTGACAGAGAAATCATATACACTAGGGGGTGACCGAGAAATTATATACACTAGCTATAGGGGGTGAAAGAGAAATCATATACACTAGGGTGTGACAGAGAAATCATATACACTAGGGGGTGACAGAGAAATCATATACACTAGGGTGTGACAGAGAAATCATATACACTAGGGGGTGACAGAGAAATCATATACACTAGGGGGTGACCGAGAAATTATATACACTAGCTATAGGGGGTGAAAGAGAAATCATATACACTAGGGTGTGACAGAGAAATCATATACACTAGGGGGTGACAGAGAAATCATATACACTAGGGTGTGACAGAGAAATCATATACACTAGGGGGTGACAGAGAAATCATATACACTAGGGGGTGACCGAGGATTATATACACTAGCTATAGGGGGTGAAAGAGAAATCATATACACTAGGGGATGACAGAGAAATCATATACACTAGGTGACAGAGAAATCATATACACTAGGGTGTGACAGAGAAATCATATACACCAAGGTGTGACAGAGAAATCATATACACCAAGGTGTAACAGAGAAATCATATACACTAGGGGATGACAGAGAAATCATATACACTAGGTTGTGACAGAGAAATTTTGAACAGGTAAAACAGGAGATAAGTCAAAAGTGCAAGAAATATAAATCTCTTGACAATGATGAATGGCTAGGCTAATACCTACAGTTGAAGATTCAGAGAAGCTTAACCCATATTAAAGCATCATAGCCTGTTCATTTTCCCATTATGCCATTACACAATTCCTTTATCTTATCTTTATCCTTATCTTATCAAAGACATGATATATATGTAAATTTATGCAGATTTTCAAGACTTGTCAATTCATACGATCCACAAATAGGCAAATACTGTCTTCAACAGCAGGAACTGAGATAAAAAAATCGAAAGTGGTCCCTTCCTTGCTAGAAATCCTGAACATCAATCCACCCACAAGCATTGCCAGTGGATGCTTTTTGTATGATTTTCAATTGTTGTGTCAATATTTACAAAATCAAAATGAATATATTTCAACAATTTAAAAAAAATGTTTTTTATGATTTTTTTGTTTGGAACTTTTTTTTCTTCAAACTCCTGTCACATTTATGAAGCATATGTCATTAAATACTGATTTTTTTGGCCTTCAGGACAATGATACATGTGAAGAGTGGGAACGCCACGAAGCAACGAACGATGATCCATCAAACCAGGAGAGAAACTCGGATCGGTTGTTTGAGGAGGAGATAGAACTCAAGTGGGAGAAGGGTGGCAGTGGTCTGGTCTTTTATACAGACGCTCAGTACTGGAAACAGCTGGAAGGAGGTAAGTTACTGGTGGCAGAAAACTGACAGAAATGTAGTCTATAATTAACACCGACTGGTCCCTACTGGTACAGGATATAGACTAGCAGCTGACAACAACTACAGGTTGATCTGGGCCTATCTGATTACATACAATCATAAGGCACTACGGGTCCTTACTGGTACAGGATATAGACTAGCAGCTTAAAACAACTACAGGTTGATCTGGCCCTATCTGATTACATACAAACATAAGGCACTACTGGAATACAGGAAGTGTTTTAGCTGCATATTTCAATGAATTAAACAGATAAAAAGACGATTATTTCACTGTTAATAAAGAAAAAGCTGTGTCAGTTCCAAATATCTTTACTGAGCAGTCTTCTTTGTAAAAGCATATCACTTGGAAATTTAAATATGGTCACTTCCAGGTTTTGACAGCGCTAGCTGAAAAGGTCAGAAAAACATGTTTCCTCTTTCTGTCACATTTTGGTTAATATCATGTTTCCCTCTGACAAATGTGAAGTGATATTAAGGAATATCTACTGAAACAGCAGAAAAGACGGTGATAGATTAGTTTACTGTTGGGAGAAAGGAGGTCAGCTTATTGGCATCGTCATCTGTACACATACATATGCTCAGTACTGGAAATATTAGAGAGTGGACTATAAACCTGCAGAAGAAAGACAGCAGTGTTTTTGCTTCTCTGCAGAATAGACTGTCAGTGCAACAATGTCAACTACTTCTCGTGAATGAGAGAAAATACTACTAATGCAATCTTAATATATTTAGTATGTTATTAATATTTGTTCTTATATGTGATAGGTACCTATAGTCAATCAAAGCATGGAGTGAAAAAGAAGTATATACTCTTTTTTCATAAATCCAGACAACTGTTTAAACAGCTTTGCAGATTTATGCTACCAGATTGCACATCTTTTTTTCCACCTATGCCTTGATAGACCAAGCAATATTGAGAAAAACCTAAAACGTCATGTACATAACAATTTGTTGAGAACCACATAATGCGCTTCTTCTCAAGATGTAAAATCTGATTGCCAGGTCACATATTTCACTAATGTTGTGTAATATGCTGTATATATACGGGTATATCAAACCAGGGGGCTACAGTGGCTGAGTGGTTAAGGCGTCGGATGATCACTTGCCCTACACAATTGTGTTGCAGGTTTGTGAATTCTGTCATGGTACTCCCAAAACTTGGTGCATCCTTAAATGACCATAGCTGTTACTAGCATGTAAAGCACAAACAAATAAAACTATATCACGCTAGATAATGAGGAAGTATATAGGACTTTTATTGCTTTTCAATATCAAAACAACAAACACTTGACTTACCAGTAATTTATTTTCACAGATTTTGATGAGCAGACAACAGATGACTTAGATGTTGATATGAGTATATACTACGAAAAAGGAGCCGGAGACAAGGATGCCAGAGACTACGTCACAATGCGTCAGGAGACACGCCGACGTGACGGTGTAGAACAAACAGACAGATTCAGTGCTGGTATTGCTAAAAGGCGATCATCAAATATGAAGCATTGTAGCAGTGTGGCATCGAAAATTGGTAAATTTGAGCAACACACAAAAGGATTTGGACGTAAGATTCTCACACAGCAAGGTTGGAATGAGGGTGAAGGCCTTGGATCTAGTAAAATCGGGATCGCTGAGGCTCTTGGATCAGAGGGCCAGGCTCCTAAGGACAAAACAGGATTTGGGTAAGCTCTTTAGACTAAATCTGTCTTTCATTTCATATTGGCAATATATCGATTTGACCTTAAATTTACTTTCAACACATTTGTTACATCATTTCAAGATCAGCCATTCATAGATTAGAAACAGGCAGTGAATATTCACTATCACAGTAATTATTTTGGAGTATGAAATGCATGAAAAGAATATTTCAGTGAATTTGAAATTTTGATATACATATAGCAGAACTAGACTTGGTCGATCAGGTAGCTCAGTTAGGAGGGTGTTGAGTTTCGAATCCTGGTCTGGCTGTTGTATTTCTCTTTCTCCTGTTACAAAAGTGGCAAGCTTGCCAACCATTATTTCAAGTTATGTGGAGCAGAGTTAGCTGATAAAGTCTTGTCATGTGTAGCAAAAACGAAACTCAACAGGAATGTATGCAGTAGAGGAACAATAGGCTTAATCGTAACAGATGCACAAAATGTATTAGAAAAATGTATATATATTTAACAACCATAGCTTTGATATGATTATTTTTTACTGGAAAGGACCATTTAGCCAGTTTATTCAAATGATATGTCCTTAATAAAACATATTCAATAAGGTTTCCAAAAATAATGATAAAATGATACTTCAATTGTATTTCCAACATTTTAAATGCTAGTTTAAACGTATAAATGTATACAAAGTGCAGATGCACCTACTAGTATTTCCAGCACATGATCCATTAGTCTATTGATCTGACGTCACTGTGTCCGGGGCATTATCTCATATATTCATTTAAATTGCTTCATTTTGGATTATTACGTATCTCCTTGGGATAAAGAGATTTGGTCTTGTTGCACTGTCTACAGAGTAATGGCTATTTGTTCATTTTTGAATCCAAAGTTTGTCGGGAGGTTGGGAAATATCCATTGTTCACTATACTTTGACCCTTTTAGCAGCTTTCTTGAATTAAGTTAATGGTATAAATATTATATACACATGTCACTGTACTTAGATGTTGCTGTCTAAATTTAGGCCCCAACACATTTCTGTAATATGATTGTCACTTAACTGACAACGAATACTCTTAAGTTTGGGAAGTGATCAGGCTTTCTTACTGATGGCAAGTATACTCAGATATAAGGAAAGTGGTTTAGCTTTTTTTCTAAATTTATGGAAGTAATCAAGCTTGGCTAGGGCCCATAGCTGTCATGTGGTGCACATGCTTTATAAGGTAAAAATGAAATGAAAAGGGAAGATCCATTAATTAAAAATCAATCAAAACAAGCTGTAAACAAAAAAGTCAAGGGGGATAAGTTGTTCTCTTCAACATATAGATAATGTAAAGAATTTTCCTATTTTATTAACTCATTCACTCCTGAAGACACATTTGAACTCACCAATATTCAAAGGTGGGACACGTGCAATACGAAATTTCGCGGGTGAATGAGTCAATATTTATACTTTCATACATTCTAATTTCTGTTTACAGATACAGAGGAGAAAGGTTGTTGAAGACAAGGGATTTGAAGCACAAAAAGCCACAAGAAGAAAGGTTGATATCTACAAAATATGATGATCCATCGGAGACTGATCCTGTGGACCCCCTGCTGAGACGAAGTCATCACTACCATATCTCCCATCGCCACAGTCATCATGTTGCCTTCACAGCTGCAAAATCTCAGGAATGAACTAAATATTTAATGATTTCTCCTCATTTGAGGACCAAACACATTCATATTGCAGCATAGGTGTCAACCTCTGAAACCTCCAATGGTGGAGCGGGTCTCCTTCATTCCACATTTCCAATGAGGGAGAAAGTGTGTGAAACGCGACTGAAACTGTTTTGCTCAATTTATCTTTCCCTATTTATGTACATGTTTCATTGAATAACTCCAAAAAGCATTCATTTGATTCAGACACACCTGCTATGATTATTACACTTACCCTGCAGTAACTGGGAGATCATTTTACCACAAAATGTAGATTTTGAGTTTGTGTGAGTTCGGACTTGAATGAGGGAGATTTGAGGGAGATTGGTAAATTTTGGTCAAAATGAGGGAGCCTCCCTCCAAATTAGGGAGGGTTGGCATGACAGCTATGTTGCACTTGTAGAAATTCTTATAGATAAATTATAATATAATTTATATATTTCAAACATAGACTTTCTTTAGAGATGAATGTAACACAGACACACTGGTGATTGAGGCACAGTAGTCTAGAGGTAGAACACCGGGCTCGTGACCAAAGGGTTGAGGGTTCGAGTCACGGCACGACCTGTGTTGTATCTTTGAGCAAGATACTTTACTCTGCTTGTTCGAGTCTACTCAGCTGTAAATGCGGGGACATCAAATTTGGTCTAAACTACTGTTAAAACAGTTGGGGAGGTTCATCAGGGGATGCAACACCCTTTTCTTGTTCTTTGAAAATCCCATGAAACCCATTCGTGACGAACCTCTAAAGAGGTGAAAGCATGAGAGAGCTACTATTAAAAGACTTTTTTTTTTATTAATCAGCACAAGGATTTTGGATGTTTTTAGATATAAACATTCCCCGAGGTGAGAACTTCCACCATGCCTATCTATATACTCCAGTTAGATGAAAAAGGTACCAGGGTATATAAAGTTTTTAAAAGTTTGAAAATCAAGTTATTTATTTTGATTAAAAATTAAATAGACAAGGTTGGTTGAAATTTTCTTTTCTACCATATTGGTATCTATATCAAGGAAACTTGTTACCTCTCGATGTCTGTCTGATTGGAGCAGTCTTCGAAACATAACATCACAGTTAAATACTTTAAACCTGGACATTTTCGCTGCAGTTTAATTTTCGCCTTTTACACTTGCGATAATGAGGACAAATTTATCATGACAGCAAACATGAGTAAACAACATGAGACCCAGTGTGCAAAGTTAAATAATTTTATTTTTTATTTTATTTTTTATTTTTGTGAATAATATTATGCTTTATTCCAAATTTTACAATGGCTATTAATTTGTCAAGAATAAGGTCAGACTCCCAGAACTGGAAGAAAGTATGTACATTTTAATGAGTGGCTGTGAACTTTGTCTGGCTAATGAATTAATCTTAGATACAAGTAGGTGATAAAATATCTAGGGTCGGCAGTAAAATCTAGGGTAGGTCGGGATACCCGAAACACATTTTTTTTGCCTAATACAGTCATGCTTATATCGCAGTAGTATTGACCCATAACTTATTTTTTGAAACATTTCTATGAATTACCAATCAGGTTATATTATTTGTCAATACTTTGATATTTTTGTTGAATGAATAAATCTTTAACGAAAGCTATGCTTTTTTGTTGTTCATTTGTTATCTAAGTTCAGGAAAGCTTCCTGATGAAATTCTATATAAAGAAGTCATGAAATTACACTAACAACTATGTCAATATCATTTTACTGGTCGAAAACCTTTGCAGAGTGTTACACAATTGATAAACAATTTATGAAAAGCTATTGATAGTCAAACTCTTTCTTTTCTTTAAATATCCACTGTGGTCCCCCATCAAATTGTGAGTACGGACTATCCACCCACGATCCTTTGATGTCAAACACATAATCCACAGTCAACTTACCGGTAGGTACTATTAACTCCACAATTTGCAGGCAAAATCCATTGTCAACATATCACCAGGCAAACTCAGCTGTTACAATCTCTTGTCAAATTGGCAGCAAGTATGATCCTATCAGCCATTTTCAGCAGACAATCCAGTCAAATTGCCGTTATGAACATTCATCTGTCAAATTGTCAGCAGAAATATTCCAATGTAGCGCTGACATTAAGTACATTCCACTTTTAACTAATAAGCAGGTGCATACTACTTGCTAGTTGGCACAATCAACTATCAAGAGCATCTCTTTCTATTGTCAAATTGTCAGCAGGTGCACTTTACTGTCTAATTGTCAGCAGGTGCACTTAACTGTCAAATTGTTAGCAGGTGCACTTAACTGTCAAATTGCTAGCAGTTGCAATTAACTGTCAAATATTCAGTATGTACTATTTACTGTCAAATTGTCAATAGGTACAATTTACTGTCAAACTTTCAGCAGGTGCACTTTACTGTTAAATTGTCAGCAGGTGCAAGTAACTGTCAAATTGTCAGTGGGTACTATTTACTGTCAAATTGTCAACAGGTACAATTTACTGTCAAATTTTCAGCAGGTGCACTTTACTGTTAAAATTGTCAGCAGGTGCAATGTACTGTCAAATTATCAGCAAGTATAATCTGCTGTCAAAATATTTCGTGTCACGAACTGTCAAATCATCCAGAGTCAAGAGGTCAGCAGGCACAATCGCTTATATTTAGTTAGCAGGTATAATCAAGTGACAGCAGAACGATGTCTACTGTCAATTTGTATGATACAGTAAATTTTATAATATTTTTTTACTTATTCAGTGGTGATCATTGTAGATGGTTAACTAAATTTTAATTATTCAATTTTGTAATTAAAATGCAACTCAGAAAACAAAGCCAAGAAAACAGGACTACAGCTGAGTTTATTCACTAGTATATCAACAAGGCCTTAACTTGACAATACGTAGTTCCTTGTGCATGCATCTTCCTTTATCAAACTCGCACCTACAATTTAAAGAAATAGTTTCATACATATTGATCACTTCTAGGAAACTTTGATACAAATTTAATTTAATTCAGTATTTTATTGATCTGGTTTTTTTTTTGTTAATTGTAACAACTTGAAGATAAAATAATACCACATGTAACACACAGTGAATGTTTAATTGTAATTATAGATGTTTTTCGTTTCAAATATACAGAGTAAAGTGAGGTCTACAGGCTGTGTTAAAAAATGAAGACAGATTAAATTACGTTATAGTCTCCCTACCTATACGTACATTATATTTAATGCGAAGGACTTCCTTAAGGTATTTCATACAGGCTCATGTCAGTGTATTTACATACTGTAGTATGAGATTGACTCATAACTTTTCCTCAAAATGATTACAATGTGGAAGTTGGTTGGTATACCCATGTCAGGAAAAATGTCAATAATGACATTTGCAGAAATTATTTGTTGAATATATTGTTGACTTTGTCTGAAAAGTAACATTTGAATGCCGAATTCTAGTGGCGCAAAATTGCAATGAATAATGGAATTAATGAAAAAACTTACCTGAACATGCATTCCTGAAGTATCCATTTATTGACTATTATCGAGAAAAATGTAAGAAAATGTGTCAAATCTCCAGAATAATAGCATATATTTCCAAGTGGCTTGGTTAATTTTGTGGAAAATGCCCCCTTTTTGGCCCCCTTATTGGGTGTTTACAGGGCTAACACCTACCATTTGAACAAATTGGATCCCCTTACCCTAATGATCAATTCTGTAGTTGAATAAATCACAACTGAGCATAAAGCCAACAAGGCTGCCTGAAGTTTGGAAAAAGCATGCAAAGCAAGTGCGATTTTACCTGTACACCATTCAAAACACCTTCAGGTTCTCACTCGGGTATCTCTGGCTTGACTTGTATCAATAGCCTTGTTAGCTTCGTGAATTATTGTAAAATATCCAATGCATGCCATCATTCTTGAGATTTGAAGTTTTTTCTTACATTTTTCTCGATAATGGTCAATACACGGATACTTCAGAAATGCATGTACAGGTAAGTGTTTTCAGGAATTATAATATTCAATGCAATTTTGCGCCACTAAAATTCTGCATTCAAAAGTTACTTTTCAGACAAAATCAAGAATATATTCGACAACTAATTTCTGCAAAGGTCATTATTGACATTGTTCTTGACATGGGTATACCAACCAACTTCCATATTTTTTTCATTTTGAGGAAAAGTTATGAGCCCATCACATACTATATACACTGAAAAAGGCATGTATGAAATACCTTAAATTCGATCCAATTGTCAAAATGGAGAGGAGCGCCTGTTCCTTATTATATGACACTATTTACTTGTCATATCTGTTAACTTTTTTTCTGGAGTTGAAGAAGCATGGTATTCCATACTCCAACAATGCTAGAGGTTTTACACGGCGAAAAACGTTTAACAGGCGCCGCGTCCGAAAAAAGGCCGACCAGCGGCCTCTCACGTTATATGAGTAGGTCTTCCATATTCATATTGTGAAACCATGCGATCACAAGCATGTTAAGTTGCTATCTGATAAAAACCATATAGCAATTTTCTAAAATATTCTATTAATTACATATATTATGATATAGATTATCATGAAAAACTGTAGTTAACTAAATGTTGTGTACATTTGGAAATGTACATGTATCAGCAATTTGTGTTGATGGGCCTTGGTTTCATTGCATAAATAAAACAGATACAGTTGTTAAACTGATCAGGCAACAGGTTAGTTAAGAAATAACTATTTATCCCCCTTACACAATGAGAAGATGTGCACAGACAACTGTGCCGATCTTCTGCCCGATTTGTTTTTGTATTCATATGATGCTGACTTTATTCATGAGCTTTCCGGACTGGTAACAAAGAACTTGAAGTCCTTCAATTTCACATTTAGAAATATCGAGACGATGCCTTTAAATAACAAGAAATTTATCGACCTGATCGATCGTATATACCTTACTGAGACTCTTCTACTTCTGTTGCTTTACTCAATACTTACTTACAACATGACCAAAAGGAACGGATCACTACTAAGCTAAAGGATGACCGGAACGATTTCGTTTTTACGATCGTGAATTTTCCTGCCTTAATAGCTACATCCCTGCTTCTACTATCTATGGTGTTCACATGTCCATGTTGATTCAGTATTCATTAGCTTTCTCCGAATATCTTCCTGACATATAGGTCAAACTTACAAACACAGGGTTTCCAAAGGTGCAAGGTGCTGGAGACCATGCACAACTTTTGTGTTCGCCACCATTATCTTTAAGAGAAACATGTTATTTCGTTATTTGATATGAAGGTCGATTCGTTTGGTTATGCTCATTAATTATACCTAGAGTGCCTTGTGGTTTTGATGTCACTACCCAAGTTCCGGTCTGAATTAGACATTACTCGGATTTTAACTAGATAAACGTAGCGTTTGTAGTCCATCAAACAGAAGACCCTTATCCTTGCGGAACACCTGGTCTTATTTCCTGTGTATTTTTTCAATGGTCAACATGTAAATTAGGGGTTTGTTGACACTTCGGTAACGTCCTGTTGTCTAATGTCTCGAAGCATGCACTGAAACGCCATTACCTAATTACAAGTGATATACAATAGAAAGGCACCTATTACAAAATAATAAAACGTAAATCCAGGAATGAAGACAAAGTAAATATTTATTGAATCATTCAGCCATTTTGTCGATTAAGTACTCATAGGGGATTAGAAAAAATAAACATTCTCGAAGTGTTCTAAAATATCTCTGAATACAGCATAAGGGAACAGGCATCGATTTAGAAAATTACAAATTTTGGATGCAAAACCTTATCAACTAAATAAGAAGGCAAATGTTAAGGAGCGTAAGCTAAACTTGTACATGAAATTGGAATAAAAGAACCCCGTGTTGCTACGTTTTATATCGCAATGTTAGGAAATCGAGCTTACATTTTGAAAAAAATACCAAAAAAACCAACCCAATACTAATGCTTTTGTAAATATGTGAAATTCGACATAAAACAGATTCTGGTATATCAATAAATTTTTAACATTTATATCCAAGAGAATAATACACGTGCTTGTAAAGTGTTTTCATATTTTATATAACATTACAAAAGCTATTGAAAAAGAAGGATACCTTTTTTTAATTATTCAATTATTTGTTTACCTCATATACATTCTATTTTCAAGAATCATTTTCAGTGGTACAAACGCTTTCAAGTATTATTATGTTTGTGATTTTTTGTATACATTTTTATTTATCGTTTTCATTTTTCGTGACATTTATATTACTCTACAACAAAGAGTTGCTTCCCCTTTGCCTAGGAGAATCGTTCCGGTTGTTCGTGAAATTTCGGATGGTGCAGAATATTAACTTGAGTTGAAGATGCCCAGGCCTTGTACAATGATGCCTGGCACAACCTCATAACAATTTTGACTTTTAGAGCCCTCTTAGAATCAACTATTGGAGTATTTCCCAACAGAAGAAGATCAGTATTTTTCATCCTATGAGAAGTACGATGCTTTGTATATATATTGGCCTTGCTTGAAGGAAGCACGATCCTAAGTTTCTCCGAGATTGGTTATGTTTCACCCTTGCAACACATGATGATTCATCGAAAAGACACAAATAATCGTTTTTTCCTACCACAATGGCAAGAAATATGATATAATACAGAAATAAAGCAAACGCACAAATATTAAAGATGCTCAGGTTGACGCGCAATTGTTGGTATCTGTTTTAGTCTTGCGTTAGTCTGTTGTGTTCGTCCATTTTGCTAAAGCGTCTCGGATTACAGGAAATATAAAATGGGAAACTCGAGCGCGCGAGAACTACACGATCGTATATCCTGTAATACGCGCAACTGAAGGATAATAACACGAATTCAACTGCTCATTTCATATCTTTTATTGCATTGTTTGATCCCAACATGAACTCGTATATTAAGCGACGATCGGATTCTTTCAACGCCTGTATCCTGTCCTTAGCCGAATACATGGAAACCCGCCTCCGTTTTCGCAGAGTCTTCGAAACACCTGATAGCCCTGCGGTTGTCCCCAAGGGTTTGATAGCAGATTCCCAGGAGGGTGTGCACAATCCAGTGTCTTTGACCTCCTTGTAGATCATTATATTTTGTTACGATCAGGTAACGTAGTGCTCTATCACGTTCGTTGGTGTCTCCGAGCTCGTGGCAGCACATGAAGGACAAGAAGATAGCGTACAGAAGTGGAGGGATGTGGAGACATTGTGTTGATAGTTTTGATTGAAGATGAGGAAGACAGAACTGTTCTTGTCCAAACGTGAAGGAAATTGATCTTGTAAATACTTTTCTCAACTTTTGGATTGAAGGGTTGCCTGGGCTACAATCTCCAACGGTATAAAGTACTTCCTGTTCTGGTGTTAGCTTTTCTGTATCATCTGAGAAGTATGATGCTAGACGCATTATTTGTCTGATAACCTCCAGGGATTTACCGTAGTTTCCTGTTTTGAAGTGGAATGTAGCCAAGTACAACAGCTCTGTCCCCATCGAGGCCCTTGGTATCATCCAGTATTTTGTCTTTTTCAGACTCTTATAACTGGTCTTGTTGTTGATAGCATTCATGTGATCTGGGTAAACCTGCTCAATTGCGATTTCATACAGGATATGTATAGCATAGTAGTACGAGATTATTTCAGCATACGCTGACTCAGATTTTGATAGTAAGTTCAACATTCCAACTATTGTTTTCAAGGACCTGCTTTCTGGGAAATGCAAATTTCGTAAATGGTTCACAACGGACTTATCCCGACGGAGGACAGCATCATGAACTGATTCAGGTTGTACCAGGTTATCTTGTAATGTTGCAAGATATTGCAACAATAATGGCCGAGAGAATTTTCCAACAGGAAGACAACCCCATTTCAGCAGTTGATATTCGTTTAAAATTTTAAACAATCTTTGTTGATTTTGTCCATGGATCTTTCTTTTGAACAAGTTGTTTGCTGGGATGAAGTAGTTGGGACAGTATCCTGCCTTGACCCAAGCTATAAGAATGTTGAAACAAAGCCAGAAACAGTTGAATAAGTTTTTGTCTTGCCAGAAATTTTGATCGGAGTTTTCAATGGCATGAAAAAGGACTGTTTTCAGAAAATAGGAACACAATATATCATCATCGCCAATTACCTCTTTCAGCAAGTGCTTTAATTGTTTTAAGAAATATTTCAGTAAAAAGTAAACTTTGAACTGAATGTGGCTGAAAGAGTGTACTAACTTTCTTTCTGCTGAAATAAATGATATTCTCCACTGTAACAATGTGTCTTCGGAACATTTGTCGCCCACTGGGACAACATGACAGCCACTCCTCACGATCCTGTCAATCAAAGTTTGATGTGGCCAGCCATACAGTCGTGTACGGGTTATCCATTCATGGGCCTGTCTAGGCCATCCGTTACTAGGAAAACAAGGAACCAAATCCATACTAAACGACACTGACTTTGTAGTACAACTGGGGCCATTCGATTCAAACAGATGACCCTCATCTGAATTCATATATGATACAAATTGTTCTCTGTATATGTCACTTGACACAAACGACCTGTTCTCCATTGGAACCAGTGAATTAAGTAATACATGACTCTGATGCTGTCCTAACTGACCGAGCAATAAGTTGACATATCCAGGTCGACACTCGCCCTGTCTCATGTACAGGGAAGTATGACGTGCCCTGTTTGTAGGAATACACTGACCAGAGAGTAGAACTGTAACATTTCTGTCTATGAGCATCATGTCAAAATCGGAATCGGCTAGATAGAATCCTTCAACACGACTTCCGCCATAAAATAGATATGTCTCAGTACCGCCAAATTTGACTGCTTGTTCCATTACAAGCTGCGTCGTTCTCCTAATGTCTACATCCTCCTTTGTACCTGGGAAATGCCGGTCCAAATATGTTGACAAGAGTTCTGACGTCCGCTCGCTGTCATTGGAATCCATTGCACCTTTCTACAGCCCTGTAATGATAATATAAAAATGCAAGTTATATACATAGCTGATTTTATGTCGCGACACATACATCCTCCATTAGACTGTTTGACAGGTATTGTTAAAAGGTTGCTACGAACATAGCCCCCTTAGGGTGCCCCCCCCCCTCTTGGTGCCTCCGTTGTTTCGAGGTGTTTGATTGGCTAACATCCCATGCTACAATCTGATTGGCTGTAGGCCTCTTTCTTCATCTTTAAGAAAACAATACTAAACTAAATGATTTTTTTTACCATAAATTTACAGCCATTAAGTAAGACAATCAAAATGCTTTTAATCATATTTGTGTTATTATTCAGAGGAGATAAGAACCACAATTAGCAATCTTTCTCTGTCGATTATTGAGAGAACAAACCACAGGAGTTTCTTGGTAGACTATGATGAATTTTATTTAGGGTTGTCAACGGTTAGTTTACTCAATCGGAAGACCACGAACCGGTTACAAAAATAGTTAACCGAATAGTAAGACATTTATTTACCCCCATAGGAAGCCAAATGTTTCCCTGGCTTAGACCTACAAATTATGTATTGATGCGACCAAAATAGGACAGTTTTGTAATACAAACAGTGTTCAGACATGAATGTTAATTAGTGTTGTTTTTTTACTGTATTGTAAAGTTTGACAAAGCCTATAGCACCATAAAAAACATAAACAGAATTTAAAAGGAAGCCAGAATACTAAGTTGTAAAATATCAACTTTTAGAGGTTGAAATCGCTTTTACATGTGAAATATAAATATAATCTCAAGAAAGCACAATTGAATGAGCAAGCATGTCTTAAAACGTTTGTCGATAAATTGTTTCCTAAAGAACAATATTAACACATATGATTTCGAGTACCGATAACTGTAATTGAATCGCGCCTTACTTTATTCTGACATTTGTTGTCCACGAAATATGCTCACCGATGTTACATTTAACTATTTTCTGCGTTTGGCTTGAAATACGCGAGTCGACTATTATGCTAAACAATAAATACAGGTACGTATGTGGTGTAAATACGTTTTAAATCGAACATGTGCTAATTATTTAATTTGATGTCGTTGTTTATTATTTGAATACTAAATTGACCGATTAAACGGTTACTCGATCGGAGGATTGTTCGAGTGATCGGTTTCCAAAGTTTGAACGGTTTGACAACCCTTTACCTTAATTGACAAGCCTAACTTTATTTGACTAGAAATTAAACTTAAAACAATGAACAAAGGGTGTCAGGGAATGTATTTTTATTCTGTTCTCGTGTAATATAAGATCCATAATGACGTCATATTTAAGACAATGGACATGATGTTACTCATTGAAGAAAAATGTACATGGGGATAAGATAGAGAAAGAATGCACACGTTTTTTCTGATTTGTTATATTATACATTGTATTAGACACGATGCCAGCTGTATTATACTGTATCAGGAACGTAGTTTTGAAATATAGGTTAAGTTATTACCATCTGTTTTGGAAGTGCTGACAGAGACTGTTTTCACTCGTTCGCTTCGATTATTAGAACGACCGCGTTTATGTTATGTTTATACACTTGTTATTTCATTAAAACACTATTCTCATCTACTCCGTCTTTTCGTATTGCAGAGTTATCTGCTCTTTTGAGCAGGTATTGATTGTTACGTCATTTGTCTGTAAAAATAACGTCATCAATTGTTGAGAAAACGACGTAATTTTCTCACACACACCAATGACGTAACAATCAATACCTGCTCACAAGAGAAGATAACTCTGCAATAAGCAAAGACGGAATAGAACATGTCTTTATAGCACATTGAAATGGATCGACTATAATCATGTATGATGGCTTACCTGTAATTTGTAGCTTCCCTATACTCTAGAATTCCATTCTTCAACTTGATGTAGATGACTTAATTGAACTTAATTTTTCCAACGTCTAGTCGCCATGACAGAGTGCCGTTTGCTTAACAGGGATACTAGGTAACTAAATTCTTTTATCGTGACGTAATATTTACATATATAGTTCCCTAACACTGGGGATTTTCATGGAACGTGATCTTATATTTCGTGAATATGTGGCAAAACCCATTGCGTAGGTTGTAATGACCTTCCACAAAACACCTTTATCGGTAGAAGCAACCGACCGTGAAGGATGTGTATGGAAATTTATATACCTGTTTATATGTATATTTGCTTAGTGATGGAGAACCTGAACAGGTTTTAATATATCAACTTCTGTGGAATGGGCTTCAGATAACCTCCATTTCAATTCATCATTACAACACTGAACAAATGTCGCAGGAAAAACAGTTCACAAACTCCATTTCTCTGTATACATTTTATTATTTCATTTCCCCGGGCCGACGTATACTGTACAGATATAGTACAGGATTCAGAACCACAAAGGAACCCCTGCAAATACAATTTGCCAACATTACAAATAGACCAAATAATACAAGATACCATTAGTTATTCTTTATAATAATGAATTCGACGCGTTTCGACCGATAAAAGTATTAAATTGTAAGAACAACTACTGTTACAAGTATTATTTACCTGATACCGTCATGTTGCCACGCAGTAGGAAATATTGGCCCGTCATGTCAAGTAGCGCTGATCCCCGAAGGTGATTGTGTCAAACGCTCTGGCTAGAATGCAACGCCCACC